GGGCCTGGGCCTGGGCCTGGGCCTGGGCCTGGGCCTGGGCCTGGGCCTGGGCCTGGGCCTGAGCCTGAGCCTGAGCCTGGGGAAAATGCGGCAGTGAAAAATGATGACAACATTAAAGAACAGGGGAGCCAGAGGCACTGATGGTGTCATCTGTGAGAGTCTGTTTGTAGTGGGGCAAGACTGTGGTTGAACTCATGACTGAAATGAGATGAGAGATTGTGCATGAGAGAGAGGAAGTGTGGTTATCTGGAGCATTGGTTTTGAAAGCACATATCTCCTATGAGTGTTCCTCTGATGCCACCTCCATGACTACATGACCTGTCAGAAGATTGGTGATGTTGAGCAAGTGAAGCTTATTCACACAGCTTTCTACTAAGGAATGTTTGTTAAGTTTGATAAGTTCTGGAAGAGTCTGATGAGGGTTCTCCATAATACACTTTTAAAAACAGTAATGGGAGGTTAGGATGAGCATGGGAAGAAGCTTGTCCACTGCTACTCTAGCCTTGTGCTTTTATCTTCCATGGGCAGATGTCACGGATTGATGGCACTGTGGACAACCCACCGTGTCTAAAGCTGACACACCGAACATTCGGCTCCCAGAATGCTCTTGTGGAACTCCTCTTCTTACGTCTCAGTATGCCAGTGGAGTTCTATGAGAAGTTCAGGGTCCCAGCTGGTACCACTCCACTCACCCACGCACTCACCATCCCGGAAGATGAGGTCAAGGACGTTGACCTTGATTCCGAGTACGAGCAGTTGAAGAAAACCGCCAGTCGCAAGGAGGCTGAGGAAGCTGAGAAAGAGAAGCAAGGCCCTGGTCCCCCTGCTGCACACAAGGAGCCACCCAAAGAGGCCCCTAAAGCCGAGAATGAGAAGGATTCCTCCAATGAGAAAAGCAAAACCAAAAGAGGGTGAGAAATCTATAGAAAGCTTACCAGTTCAGGAAGTACCCTAGTGGTGAAATTACTGGGTTCAAAAGGAATAATGAAAAAGATCTTTAGATACCAGAGTGGGAGTGAAGCATTCTTGGTGTGGAGGACTATCAATACGATCAGATGTGTATTGACTCTGAACTAGTTCTCACTGAGGTGAGCAGAGCTCATTTCCAAGAAGCATGCCTGGAGAAAATCAGGGTGACATCTTGAATGAGGGATCAGCTGTCCTTTCTGACCATGCCCTCCTTGCCATTTATCTTCTCCAGCTTCTTGTTCAAAGCCAAGAAAGCCACCACCCTCATTACCCCTCCTCCTGTAGTCCCCACGGTACCTCGACTTGAAGAGGAAGTCGTTCCTGATGACCGGGATGATCCTGAGATCATCATGAACACCACAACGGTAACAGGAACTTAGATATCTAGTGACTTAATATAATATTGCCTGTCCCTAGCTGACATCGTCCAGATTTGTTTGGAGTGCACTTCCGGTATTCCAGAATGGAAGTGCTGGATGGGGTGAGATTAACATGTTATTTTCCTAATCTCTTTTCCATGAGTTATTTACAGAATACTTTTGCTTAACTGTTAGTAATGTTTGAATTAGCGACTGCATGTCCAATGCCATATTAATTTTACCTTTTGCACCTTTCTCTTTCCAACCTAACAGTATTACTACTCAGTCCGGATATTTGCAGGCCAAGAGCCCACTTGTGTGTGGGTAGGCTGGGTGACACCCGATTACCACCAGCATGACATGAACTTTGACCTCACAAAGGTGCGCAATGTCACAGTCACCATGGGTGATGACAAGGGAAACATCCACGACAGGTGAGAGTTATCCAGACCTGCTGTGCATTATGGAACAGTTACAAGCAATTTCTGAGAATTATGTTGTGCTTGAACAGTAGCAGGTAATAGTAGAGTAGCAATCTGGCCAGATCTGGAGGTATTTGAGGAGTCTGTTTCCCTGGGCAGGTTGAGCAAAGGATGAAACAATCTTTCGATGTGGAAACAATGAGGTGCAGTTGCCAAGTGGGATTTGGGGGAAGGAGGGGCATAACATCAAACCTTGTGGATCTCCAGTCCAGGGGCTTGTAGTATCTCAAGAAAAACTAAGTTGGCAGGTCACCTCCACTGTCTCTCATTTCAACAGCATCAAGAGAAACAACTGCTACATGGTTTGGGGAGGGGATTTTGTCAGCAGTACCCAGCAGACCCGAGTTAGCACAATGGACCTGGTGATCGGTTGCCTTGTTGATCTGGCGACAGGGCTCATGACTTTCACAGCCAATGGGAAAGAAGTCAACACTTTCTTCCAGGTGAGCTGAATCAGAATATATTCCCCAGAGACTTAACGGGGGCTGAAATTTACTAGGGAGATGATGGATAGTTGGATAAACAATTAAGGAAGTGTTTAGAACAGATAAGGAGACTGCAGAAAAGCTGGATGAATGGGGCCCTTGATGGTTCTCTTCTTGACAGCAGAAGACACAGATGTCAGGTCCTCAGTGTGAAACTTTTAGAAAGGGAATCTAGGATAAATGATGTAGAGAAGATGGTGTAGGCTTTGCCAACAAACTGCAAATAATAATAATAATAATACTGCTGTA